CTCCTCCTTCTGAGCCTCTTCTATGGCCTGATCAAGAGACTTGGGGTCTCTTCGATGCACAGCTGCTCGGACCTCATCATCTGTTATGGCATTCTCATAACATTTCCTCGCCAACCTATCCTGAGAAGAGCGAGGCATCTCAGGATATGCAAGAGCAGCTAGTCTCCTTATGCTTTGACCGAGACTCTGTAAGGACTCCTTGGGCTTCCTCGTCCTGGTGTTTAGTTCAGCTTCATACATTGAAGCTTTTTCACCTGGTCCAAACCTTTTAGTGAGTGCTTCAAGCAGCTCATCATAGGAGTGGCCTTGCTCCAGCTCTTGCACTACCTGCTGGGCATCTCCTCTCAACTGGTTCGTCAACTGTTGCCGCTTCTCCTCGTCACTCCAGCCATTACAGTCGATGCAGTTCTGGAAGTACACCTTGTAATCAAGCCATGGTGTCTTCCCATCAAATAACTGGGTTGGCTTTATCTTAGTCTTCTTCTCGGTATTAGATGAGCTCAGTGCTTTCACCAACTGCTCATTGTTTGATTTGCACATTTGCATGGCCTGCTCAGCAAGAAGCAGGGCTCTATTGGTCTCTTCAGCTGCAGAATCTCTTGACTTCTCAACTAGTTTACCATGCACTCCTTCAGTGGTATCCTGGTCAGGGATAGTAGGAGCTGGTCTTCTCTCTGGGGACACTCCCACTGGTTGAGTTTCAGGTCTCTCTGCAGGTATAAACATTCGATCCTGTCTCCTTAAACTCCAAGGTTTGGACACGGGGAACATCCCCACAGGGGCCTCAGGGAGTCTAGGAACAGGACAACTCTTAGAGCCTCTCGCTTCCATCTCTTGATCATCAACAGGCATGGGACAATAGGAGGGCTGCTGTTGATGCTCTGCCCACTTAGCAGTCTCTGGCACATTCGACCTCTCTGGAGTCTTAATCTCTGGAAAGGAAATTCTACTCCTTGGTTCATCAGCATGTGTCCCTGGGATACGCTGCCATATTTCCCTCTCTGGCATCTCTAGTCTAGGGGGCCTTTCCTCTCTCCAGGACTGCAATGGTTCTGGTAGGCGAGGTGGACCTCTCCTGGTTGCAGGCATTAGCAGCTGCTCCTGCCATCTCGCTGCAGAGAGTTGAGGATTCTCTTCATGAGTAATCAAACTCAACTTCCTTGTAGTCTCTCGTAGCTGTTTCTCAGCAACTCCCTCATTCATCATATCTGCCTCAATCTCTTTCTCCCTCAGGTCTGTGTGACTTCTTCTACGTGGAGTGGAACTTCGAGAGGAAGCAATTGAAGGTGCTAAATTCACCAGGGTTTCATGTATCTGGCCCATCTGTCGTGTCAAGTCCAACTTCATCTCTTCTTGGCCTTGAGTCAATTTTTCTTCTTGATGATGAAGCTGCTGTCTCGTCTGAAAAGTCTGGGATACCAATTCATCTTTGATACCCAGAACGTCCTGCTTTAAAGACTCCACATCTTGTTCCACTTTGATGAGTTCAAGCTTGCTCTTCTTTTGAGCATATTCACTTGATGTGGGCTTCCTGGATACTCCCCGATCACTTTTGATCTCTGTGGAAGTAACAGGCAAGGGCTGGTCCTGTCTGCCTAGTACTCCAGTAGTACGAAATTTGGAGGGAGTAAACTCACTCTGCATCCTGGACTGCATCCTTGACTCTGACCAATACCCAGTACTGTCTTGGGCCCCTCTCGGCCATGGTCTCTGTTCAGGAAGATGCAAACATCTCTCTGCGCCACCCATGGCACCATACTTTTCTGGATCCAGAACCGAGTCCCTTGGCTCCAAAGGAAGAGTATCTTGGGTCTCCAGCTCCAGGTTTCTGGGGCCACCTTTAAAAACCACTGTGTCGTCTGGCTCCGGTGTCCTCCTGAGTGTCCTCCCCTTTGGGATACCCATTGGACTTCTCCCTGCCTCTGACATCTCCATGCTTCTCTCCATCTCTAGGAACAGTGAAAAATCCCACCGCTGCCACCAATGTCGCGCGCCAGACTCCCGCCGAGTACCTGTACTCCCTCGGAGAAGGTCTGGTGGCGATGATAAGGGATTCGGAGGTGTTTCTCATGGGCGCCGAGCTTGTTTGGTGCTTCGGCTGTCACTGAGCTAGGAGATGGAGAACACAGGAATATATAAAACAATCAATTACAGGATTTTAACAATCTATTCAACACTATAATTACTATCACAATCAATTTCAAAATGTCCTCAAATGCCTTTATGGCCAGTTATACAATAATGTCTCTATATATAAGCATGAGTCGAAAAACACTCTGGCTCTGAGTTCGTCTGTCTCTACTCTACTCTGCCATACTCTGCTTTCTGCTCTGCTTGTCTGCTCTGCTCTCTGATATACTCGGCTCTGCTCTCTGCTATGCTCTGCTCTCTGCAATACTCTGCTCTGGAACTTGGTTCTACTCTAGCTGCTTCAGGAATCGCCTGACCTCACGATTAATCTCTGCTCACTTCTTCTCAGGATATACCTCTGTCTTGAACGAGATCCACACACTGGGAGTACCTTCAGCTCCGGGAATCGCCTCTTCTCAGTAGTAACCTCTACTCTTGAACGAGATCCACACACTGCTCGTACCTCAGCCCCGGGAATCGCCTCGTCTCTGGAGTAACCTCTACTCAAAGAGTGCTCTCACTCTATGAGCTATAATGTCTCTTAGAAGGGGTCCAGGCTCCGGGAGTAACCTCTGCTCTCAGAGTCACCTCTTCTCAGGATATACCTCTCTACAACCTCTGCTCAATTCACTCTTGAGCTACACTGTCTCTTGGAAGGGGTCCAGGCTCCGGGAGTATCCTCTGCTCTTGGAGTCGTCACTTCTCAGGAGAAACCTCTGCTCTCCAACGAGATCCACACACTGGGAGTACCTCAGCTCCGGGAATCGCCTCGTCTCAGGAGTAACCTCTGCTCTTGAACGAGATCCACACACTGCTAGTACCTCAGCCCCGGGAATCGCCTCGTCTCAGGAGTAACCTCTACTCAAAAAGTGCTCTCACTCAATGAGCTACACTGTCTCCAAAGAGTAACCTCTGCTCTCGGTGTCACCGCTTCGCAGGAGCAACCTCACTACAACCTCTGTAGAGAATAACAACTCTAGAATGTCGATCAAAGGATGAGATTAGACAGAGCTGTTATCTCTCGCCTTGGAGCACCTCAGTTCCGGTAATGTAACCTTGGCTCCGATGAGAGTAAACCTTCCTCAACATACAACCTTGGGTGAGAGTCAGATCGCCTCGACAAAGTAGGAGCATTTATAGCTTGGAGGGGTAATGACTAGGAGCCACCAATACTCAGAGCAGAATGACTCACGAATATCGATCAAAGAAATGAGATTAGACAGAGCCAAATAAACTCAGAGAATCTGGAGCTCAAAACTTCTCAAAATGACGTCACTTCCTTCAAAATCAAAGATGGCCGACCGCCGGGGATTGTGGGAACAAGAAAGCAAGATGGCGGACAGCTAATTACCCATTTTATGCCAACCTCAATCAAGAAAATGGCTAACTCACCAAAACACTGGCTGTTGTCTTGTATTTTCTTCAATAGTCGCACCAAATACAATCTGCATCTAACGATTACTGCAACTAATCCAATATATCCAAAATAATGCTCTAATAAGTCCACAGATTAAATAAAACACGCTTGCACATAAATAAATCCAAACTGACGAGGTCTTGTATCTTCAAGATCTTAGTTTACTCTGATTCACGTGGTTAATTGCAAACAATAAAATCCAGACACCTCAAGTTGCATCATGGGAAAACTACAACTTAAGTTGGAGGGAAATTCAAATAAAAGAATCTGATTTGCTGATCACCGGTTGCTGGGTACTTAATTATTCTAATTTATTCCACTACAGTCTGCTGATCCTGTAAACATCCCAGTGCTTACGTGACATTCTGCATGTACACATTTGAGCCATTTAACTCTCTGAAAGAGTCGACTGACTCCAAATATAAAAGTACAAAATTAAACAAAAAATGAAAATCACAATTTTGTCACAATATAATCATTCAAACAATTTTGATTAAACTGTTTATTGAATAATATATTGGGTGTCCCAAAAAATTGAAATGCTTTCTTAGTAAGTTCTATAAATATAAAAGAGTTCGGTCACATACATGTATTATGCAAGTATTCTCAAATTAAAAACATCATCCCAAAATATTCAATATATCAATTGAAAAGTCACTTATGTCTGAAATAAGCTAGTTTTTCCAAGCAGAAACTCGTGTGTATTTTTCAATCACATCCAATGACATAATTATTCCTTCCTTTAATGTATGTTGGATGTAGTGCATTTTTGTTCATAAGTATATTTACAGTAACATGTCTTTATCTCTTGCCCTTACAGCAGTACCTCATCATTTATCCCTTAAAGGCATATTTTATCCAATCAAACTGAAATTTTGGACAGAACATATTTTAGAAAAAGACAACAATGAAACAAATTAATATACTTGACACACACAAGCTGTTCGAGATTAAAACTGAATGACAGATGCTATCACCTGATAGCCTCCACAATTGTTATGGAGGTATCATTGTTCAGCTCTGATATTGGATTTTTGAAATGCAGTTTTAAGTTTCATTTCACACATAATATCAGGCCTGTCAACTGTCCCGCAATTTGCGTATTTGTCACGCATTTGCTGAAGAATTTGAAGTCACGCCAGTTATTTTTGCGTGACAGAAAATGTCACGCAAATACGCATTTTACCTGGTAATTGTCAAGCAAAAATGTTTCTGTAGAAAAATTTCCAAAAAAGATCGTCTACACAGAAAAAATACGAACGCCGGAAAAAAATGTACGCATTTAGTTCAGTCTTTTCACGCGAATTACGTATATGTCACGCATTCCGTTCGAAATTTTTGCGTACCTATTTGAGTCAACGATTGTTTAGAAAATACTTGTCAAAAAGCGGGTCAAAAGCTATTCATTTTTGGGACACCCGATGTATATACGTTGAATAATGTGATACTACAGGAATGGAAGCAAGTCCAACAAAATATGAGTCGAAGGGCAGAGTATGTGTGGAACAAGCAACAGTTTGAAGCAGTAAATCCACAGAATGTTGATTACTTATTAGGTAAGGAAGGGTATAGAATGCCAATACTTTTAGACAGTTGATTGCTTATTAGGGTAAGAGTATGTTTAGATGAACAATATTAATTATGCGATAGATACATTGACTGTTGATACTTATTCTAAAGAAGTGTATGTCTGGTGCCGAGGACAGAATCATTAGCAAGTTATATTACAGATATTATTCACAAAACTTACTGTTAAATATGCATTAGATATGTTTTTAAACAAATACAATAACCTAGATGTAGTAAGTAGGTCGTTGCCAGTTGACAATTACCCAAATGCGAGTAGGTAGTTACCATTTTCACCACCAGGTGGCTGATTCGGGTCAATTAACATGGCAGGTATATAAGAAAGTTCCCTTAAACTTGAATATTATCAATTTAGGTGGCTCAATTTTCATATAACCCTTATGTGTCTGATACTTATACTAATGAAAATATGTCCAGTAAAGCAAAATATAATCTATCCACTAAAAGAAAAGATGTTTCATTTTTTGTGATTTTATAGCATGTGGTCTATGGGGAATCTCCCCGAGCTAGAAGTCACATTTTCGAAGAAAATTAATTTTTCAAAGTTGATAAACACTTTTTAAAACCACATTTCTAGATGTAATTTTACATGTAGATTTCAAATATGATATTACTTTGACTGAATTTTGAATTTTTAATGACGTAAATCAAGATTATTTCTACTCGCATCTGGGTTATTATACAAATTAAAATATGTGAAGTTAAAGAAAATATTATCTGTCCAATACAAGAAAAGATTTTCACTTTTTGGGATTGATGAAATCTCCCTAACCTAGAAGTTTCATTTCCATGTAAAAGTAAATTTTAAAACCACATTTGAAGATGTAATTTTTCATGTAGATTTCAAAATGTGATATAACCTTGACTGAATTTCGAATATTTTAATGACGTGAATGCATCTAGTCTATTAAAGTAATATTGAATACACATATCTGTTTTGATGGGTAGAGAAACAATAAATTCTCTGAATCATGATTTGCCTCACCTCATAAGGTATAATTCTTCAATTCCCATGTTTTATCATTTTTTCAGGAATGTTTGCTCCTGTCCATCTTGACTTTGAACTGGATCGGGAGGAGACAATGTCGCAACCATCTCTCAAAGACCTCACTGCTAAAGCTTTGGACATATTGAAGAAAGATAACAAAGGCTACTTCTTAATGGTGGAAGGTATGGCAATTGTACAGTGGTAAACATACATATAGTGATATTTTAGGCCTACATTTTATAACGAGGTCTATTGAAGTAAGATGAGCATATCAATATGTAAAGTACAATGTATAAGGTTTGAGAGCTCTAAAAATGATGATGAAAAAATCCATAATCCTCTGATAAACCATATGCCTTATTTCAAAATGATTTCATTTAATGTGAAAGAAACAAATGTACAAGTGAGTACTGTTGAGATATTTGTTTACAATTGAAATGAATATATTTGTATGTTTATAATAGGTGGGAGAATAGACCATGCTCATCACAGTGGAAATGCAAAGCGCTCATTGGCTGATGGAGCCATGTTTGATGAGGCGATTGGTTATGCAAAGGACAATACTGACCAATCGGATACCCTTATCATAGTCACTGCTGATCACTCACATACATTCACCATTGGGGGTTACCCATCCAGAGGAAATGATTTATTTGGTAAGATTTGCGAATGTACCTCTAAGACCAAAATTTAAAACTTGTTTGTTTCATTGAAATATGGGAAAAAATATATCCATGATCAAGCATATGACATTTTTATGTCACCATCACAAGTGGTGACATTTTGTAAAAGTCTTTTTCGGTCTTTGGTGGTTGGTGTTTGTTATAAAATTTTGCATAACACTACATAACACACATCCTAATTTTATTTAATGTATCCTACACATGTACACATCCTAATTTTGTTTTATGTATTGTAAAATGCATTTTACATGATTATACTCATTGAAACCAATTAATATTGTACAGGGTGAGCCAAGAAAATGTAACCCAAACAAATGTTAATAACTCATTAAAGAAATGGTTTAGTTGTTACAATTTTATGAAAATGTTTTTAAAAAAGACTGTTGTTCAGTATTTCCTAACTTAATAAGCTAACTACTGTCGTTAAAATGATGATAAATTCAAACATTTGAAAAACAAATCAGGTTGATAACGTTTACAATGACCCAAAGGCTGTGAATAAGGACTCAAAGACATCAAAGCAAGATTTCTGTGCATGGTTCAGGAAAACAATTCATTATTTATAAAAGGTCATCCTATAAATAAAACTTTATTTGTCAGATCCTGAGTACAAATGTTTTCAAATCCTTATTACACAACCTGAACTGATTGGCAAGCAGACACACAAATCAGTTATAAAAAAAGTGAAGCGCTTGATGGATAATTTTTTGTTTAAGCTCTTGTGGACAACTATACTTCAAACAAATATCCTACAGATGATATGCCATACACTTCCCTGGCCTATGCAAATGGACCTGGGTATGGGTTGAATCACACAACTGGCATGAGACAAGACCTCACCAATATCGACACGAGTGAGTATACTGACACAGATGAGTACAGTTAAGATTACTCCCTACGTTAAATAACTGGAAGACAAAACCTCAACAGTATTGACACAAATGTCAACAGTTTGAATTACTAGTACTCCCGAAGTCAAACAATTAGAATGAGACAAAACCTAACCCATATTTATACAACTGAGTAAAGTATAGATTAATTATTTAAGTTAAACAATTAAAATGAGACAAAGCCTCCCGACACCAATATTGACAAAGGTGACAACAATACAGAATGGGTTTTCGTAAAACACCGACCGCCGACCACCGACCACCGACCAGTCACTCTCCACAGTTGGGTACATGTGGTCGGTGGTCGGCTGACGGTCTTTTACATAAGGATGAAAAAATGCAAAATTAGAAGTAAAACTAAAACTGGGAATCCAATGACTATAGTACCTTTACTAGGTCGTGATTTAAAAACGTATAATTATCATTTCAAATCACGATGAAAACGTTACATCGTCGTGGTGTGTAATGTCATATTTTTAAGTGATGTTTCAGTTGTTAGAAGACCAATTTCATCCTGGTTAGTCACTTTGGAAAAAAACGCACGTAACATTGCATTAAGTTCATTCTTCATTCATATGAAACATGATAAACGCAATAACAAAAACACACAAACATCGTCGATGTTGACGTCGTAACGTTATGTTTGATTTCTCAGTTGTTAAACGTCAACTGGTAAAAACTACATTTGATATGACAAAAAAAAGCTTTCTAATGGTGTACTGAAATGGTAAGTCACTTTTAATCCCGATAAGAGAACGCATGTAACATTATATCATGTTCAGTATTCAGTAGGCTATGACGATAACAAATCATTTTTGTTTCGAAATTGTTAAATTTCAGTAAAAAATTAGGATAGATTCCCGTAGAAACGATAGGTTGGTTAATGATAGGTTAGGACCTAAGGCAGGACAATTAATTGAGAGGAGACGGTCATGACCAATTTGTTTGATTGCCATTCGTTGCAAGGTACAAAATCAGTAAAAAATGTTGCCTAGTCCAACGATTGACATTCAAAATCAAATTATTAATATTCTAAGGCTATACAAATATGTTCGGTCTTTTACATGATATGGTCGGTCTTTTACACATTTTCTTCAAACCCTGTTTTGAGGCTACCAGTGGAAAACACCGACCGGTCGGTGGTCGGTGGGGTCGGTCTTTTCCGAAAACCCATACAGAAGATTGGCTAAATCAAAAAGGTGTGATTCCACCTAAGTGATAAGGTGACTAGGGAATTAAGCCAAATGCTATGTTTATCACATGCTAGAGCAGTAATGTGTTGTCAGAGAGCTGTTTGCTAAAATGTTGCCATGTAACTTAGATGCCAAGTGGTTGGAGCTTGCATATATTACCACTTAATTTGGCAACATGTCAGAACATGGAATGTTGGGACATGTCAGCCATGATTGACCTAAGTTGACAAAGAGTGAATATTGAACAGGTATTTTGTCAAATCAAGCAATCAGTAATAACTGATGATTTTAGCTGTTTTGAAAAATTATGATTTTTACCATCTGGTTATGTCCAAGAATCTCTAATAATTCTATATGTATTGTTTTCAGCTGATAAAGAATTCCTCCAACAGTCTGCTGTGCCCACTAATTCAGAGTCCCATGGGGGAGAGGATGTTGCAGTAATGGCCCATGGTCCTATGTCCCATCTATTTACTGGTGTCTATGAACAGAACTATATAGCACATACTATGGCGTATGCCTCGTGCGTAGGAGCAAATAAGGAACACTGTAATAGTGTACCCACAACAGAAGCCCCTTGTAAGCCTACAGGGGCAGGACATTCCATTAAGCCATCGTTAATGACAGTGCTTTCATGCATTCTTTCAATTTCATTATCCCAGGGAACGAAGTTCAAGGGGATATAGAGAAGCTGTCTGTTCTTCCGCTCGTCCGTTGGTTTGTTCCTTCATCCAGGCCATAACTCAAATACTGATTTAAATTTTATAGGTTTATGCCTTATAGGTGTAGGATATGTGCTCGAGAAGGAATTCTCAATATGACCGATCAATTTAAAGTGGCCACCATTTTTCGTACAAAACGTAATCTTTGAAAATTCAAATACTAGATGACTAATTTGGTTCAAATTTTAAATGCTGATTTGTTAACTCAAATACCAGTGGAGGGATTAGGTTCAAATTCTAAATGCTGATGTCTATGCACAAAGGAGCTCTGCTTGAGAAGAATCTATACATAATATATTAAAGAATCTTTGATAGCTCAAACACCAGTTGAATTTGGTTCAAATTTTATATGCTAAAGCCTCAGCACAAGGAGGGGGCAACAAGCTCTGTTCAAGAAGAAATTTCATAGCTGCTATTTATCAAAACTCTTTTCTTGTCATGATATCGTTTTACAGAGTGACAGCCAGCTTTTGCTTTTGTGTGCGCCTTTGTAATTGATGAAAAGAATGAGGTACACCGACCTGGTTCAATGCACATAGGTTTAATGGTTTTCTATTTAATGTGCATTCCTGTGCTATTGGTATTGGTTTTCGGTAACAATGGGCTTTATACCATTATACCGAAAAGCATTACACCAACGTGCACCGAAAGGTGTTATATAGTACCGAATGCCACAACACCGACTTGCATTATTTCCAAAGGTGCTGAAAGCCATAATAACGACATGCATAATATCAAAAAAAAAATTCTGAATGACTAGAAGTGTTTATTTCTGCTTGCACATTTTTCCAGTATGTATTGTATTGATATGTTCAATTAACCAAATGTAATGATGTCATTCACTCAAAGCCATTGCAGACATATTTACAAGGAAAGAAAATACAGATAAGGCAGAAACTCGATTAAAAAATAGGTGTACGAGACAAGTTGATAAGTGTGATAAATACTTAAATAAACAGTAAAGTCAGGTCAGAGAAAAAACCTTCGCGCTTGCAAGGAAAATTTTCTTGAAATTTTTAGGCCCATTTACTTCAAAAAGAGTGGTATCAATATGGAGAACTTTTTGAACACACACTTCTCTTAATCCAGTCTTAAAAAAATCTAAAAATTTAACACATCATCAATTTATGGTCATCTTTTGAATGGTAACAATATCATTGGAAAAATATATATAATACTTCCATCTATATTGTTTTAGAAAGCACATCAAACACTTTTTTTGTTCTTGGTATCATGTTTCCAGAGTGAAATGAAACATCTTTCGGAACCTCATTGGAACAAAACAACATAAAACATGTTTAGGTCTCTCAATATTGTAATTGTACAATAGAAAATTTGGTTGATTTTAAAAAAGTATCTTTTTAATGAAATAAAAGGTTTTATCTTGATTTTTATCTATTTTGGGGAGATTTTGTTTAATTTTTGGAATACTTTTTTAAAATCAACCAAAAATTCCTTTGTATAACTATAATATTGAGAGGGCTAAAAAAATGTATATGCTATTTTGTTCCAACAAGGTTCGGAAAGACATTTTATTTCATTCTCAAGAATTGGTAGAAAGGAGCAAAAACAATAACCCAGATGCGAGTAGAAATAATCTTGATTCATGTCATTAAAAATTCAAAATTCAGTCAAAGTAATATCATATTTGAAAGCTACATGTATAATTACATCTAGAAATGTGGTTTTAAAAAGTGTTTATCAACTTTGAAAAATTAATTTTCTTTGAAAATGTGACTTCTAGCTCGGGCAGATTCCCCTTAGACCCCATGCTATAAAATCACAAAAAATGAAATATCTTTTATTTAGTAGACAGATAATATTTTGCTTTACTGGACATATTTTCATTAGTATAAGAATCAGAAACATAAGGGTTACATAAAAATTGAGCCACTTAAATTGATAATATTCAAGTTTAAGGGAACTTTCTTATATACCTGCCATGTTAATTGACCCGAATCAGCCACCTGGTGGTGAAACTGGTAACTACCTACTCGCATTTGGGTAATTGCACTAAAAAACAAAAACTGTGAACAAAAACAGTTAACTCCTTCATGACTGACAATTTTGGGGAAAATGGAAAGAAATGAAAAACTGAAATGTAAATGAATCTAGAAGCAAGAAAAGGAAGCAACACCCAATAAGTTTTATGTCATTTTGAAGGGCTATACCCACACTTTATGTTTTTTGAAAAAAATATGAATATGCAAATGAGATAGTGTCATTGTGACGTCATAACTCAAGATGGCGCAGTTGGATTTTTTTCAAAATATAATTATTTTAGCATTTAATTTTTTATTGAGACTTCAATTTTAAAATCTGGAAACGCAGAATTACAGATCTTCTTATGCTGATTTCAGTGGTATTTACTCGGGGTGGAAGGTGTGAGAATTGTGCAAAAAATGACTTTGTGAGCTGGATGGAGTTTCTCTGTATTTTTCATTCTATTAGGGTTTCCTGCATAAGGGATTTCGCCTGCGAAGCATATAACTCTTGCGAACATATCTAAATATTGGTCCGAGGAAGACATACCTTGAATTTTTTAGAAAAAAATTGGCTAAAAATGGAAACTACAAAAAGTCAAAATGTTCAACTCAAACAAAACTCTAGCTATTTAATATTAACACTATGTATTATTTAATGTTTTTCAGATGTTTAAGGACCTTCATTAGTGTACTTGTGTCTAGAAATAAGATAATTAAGGACAAAATTTGGCATTTTTGATAATTTTCGCTTTCAGCAGTAACATATAGTTCCTTATATCTTGAGTTTAATGTTGACTGGTTGTTGCAATTTTGATTAAATCTGTGCTTGTACATGTCTTCTTCCATTTAAGATACAAAAAATGTATATTGGACCACCAATGGTCATATTAGAGCTTTCAGATCTCCCCTACCCCATTTATTATGAAAAATTACTGAAACATATGAAAATATAAAATAACTTGAATTTATAAACTTTAACAATGTTGTAACTATTCTATATCAATAATATGTATTATTTGATGTTTTTCAGATATTTCAGAACCTTTATTGGTATACTAGTGCCTAGAAATGAGACATTTAAGGACAAAACTTGGCATTTTTTAAAATCATTTTAGCTTTCAGCAGTAACATATAGTTCCTCATATATTATTATGTCACCACCAAAAGTGGTGACATATTGTTATGGTCTCCGTTTTTTTGCGACGGCGGTTGGCGTCCGGCGGTTGGCGTCCGGCGGTTGGCGTCCGGCGTCTGGCGGTTGGCGTCCGGCGTCTGTAACAATTTCTTACAACTTCCTATAACTTAACAAATACTGTTTAGACTGACTTCAATTTTTTTCTAAATCATCTACATGTTCTCAGAAGTTCAAATCTGACTTTAGATTTGACATTTGACCTTCAATGACCTTCTCAAGGTCAAAAAGGTCTTTTTTCAACTTGCTTCACATTGACTAAATTTTTTTTCAAAATCATCTACATGTTCTCAGAAATTCAAATCTGACTTTAGATTTGACATTTGACCTTCAAATCTGACATTAGATTTGACATTTGACCTTCAATGACCTTCTCAAGGTCAAAAAAGGTCAAAAAGGTCTGTTTTCAACTTGCTTCAAATTGACTAAATTTTTTTTTCAAAATCATCTACGTGTTCTCAGAAATTCAAATCTGACTTAAGATTTGACTTAAGATTTGACATTTGACCTTCAATGACCTTCTCAAGGTCAAAAAAGGTCAAAAAGGTCTGTTTTCAACTTACTTCAAATTGACAAAAAAAAATTTCAAAATCATCTACATGTTCTCAGAAATTCAAATCTGACTTTAGATTTGACTTAAGATTTGACATTTGACCTTCAATGACCTTCTCAAAGTCAAAAAAGGTCAAAAAGGTCTTTTTTCAACTTGCTTCAAATTGACTAAATTTTTTTTAAAATCATCTACATGTTCTCTGAAATTCAAATCTGACTTTAGATTTGACATTTGACCTTCAATGACCTTCTCAAGGTCTAAAAAGGTCAAAAAGGTCTTTTTTCAACTTGCTTCAAATTGACTAAATTTTTTTTAAAATCATCTACATGTTCTCTGAAATTCAAATCTGACTTTAGATTTGACATTTGACCTTCAATGACCTTCTCAAGGTCTAAAAAGGTCAAAAAGGTCTGTTTTCAACTTGCTTCAAATTGACTAAATTTTTTTTTCAAAATCATCTACGTGTTCTCAGAAATTCAAATCTGACTTAAGATTTGACTTAAGATTTGACATTTGACCTTCAATGACCTTCTCAAGGTCAAAAAAGGTCAAAAAGGTCTGTTTTCAACTTGCTTCAAATTGGCTAAAAAAAATTTTCAAAATCATCTACATGTTCTCAGAAATTCAAATCTGACTTTAGATTTGACTTAAGATTTGACATTTGACCTTCAATGACCTTCTCAAAGTCAAAAAAGGTCAAAAAGGTATTTTTTCATCTTGCTTCAAATTGACTAAATTTTTTTTTCAAAATCATCTACATGTTCTCAGAAATTCAAATCTGACTTTAGATTTGACATTTGACCTTCAATGACCTTCTCAATGTCAGAAAAGGTCAAAAAGGTATTTTTTCATCTTGCTTCAAATTGACTAAATTTTTTTTCAAAATCATCTACATGTTCTCAGAAATTCAAATATGACTTTAGATTTGACATTTGACCTTCAATGACCTTCTCAAGGTCAAAAAAGGTCAAAAAGGTCTTTTTTCAACTTGCTTCAAATTGACTAATTTTTTTTTTCAAAATCATCTCCATGTTCTCAGAAATTCAAATCTGACTTTAGATTTGACATTTGACCTTTAATGACCTTCTCAAGGTCAAAAAGGTCTTTTTTCAACTTGCTTCAAATTGACTAATTTTTTTTTCAAAATCATCTACATGTTCTCAGAAATTCAAATCTGACTTTAGATTTGACATTTGACCTTTAATGACCTTCTCAAGGTCAAAAAGGTCTGTTTTCAACTTGCTTCAAATTGACTAAAAAAAATTTTCAAATCATCTACATCTTTTCAGAAGTTCAAATTTGACTTTACAAGTTCTCAGAAATTCAAATCTGACTTAAGTTTAAGTATATATAATAATATAATATTGTGAGCAACTAGGTGGTGACATTTTGTCATGTTAATGCCTTGTTGAGTTTTATGCTTACTGGTTGTTGCAATTGTAATAAAATCTGTTTTTGTAGATGTCTTCTTCCATTTAAGGTATAAAAAATGTATAGTGGA